AAGACAGTCTCTCACTCTTTTGCCCAGGCTGGAGCACAATGGTGCAATCATGGCTCGCTGCAGCCTTGACCTTCTAGGCTCAAGCAATACTCCCACCTCAGCCTCCCAAGTAGCTGGGACCACAAATGCACACCATCACACCTGGCTAATTTTTTAAAAAATTATTTTCTGTAGGAACAGGATCTCCCTATGTTCCCCCAGGCTGGTCTTGAACTCTTGGACTCAACTGATTTTTCCACCTTGGCCCCCTAAAGTGCTGGGATTACAGGTGTGAGCCACCACGCCCAGCAGTCCTCCAGCTTTATTTCACTTCTTCAAGACTGCCTTGGCTATTTTTCGTTCTTTGCCTTTCTATATAATTTTAGAATTGCCTTTGTCTGCCCTTCCTTCCTTCCTTCCTTCCTTCCTTCCTTCCTTCCTTCCTCCTTTCTTTCCTTCCTTCCTTCCTTCTTTCTTTCCTTTCTTTCCTTCAATCTCGGCTCACTGCAACCTCTGGCTCTGGGTTCAAGTCATTCTCCCACCTCAGCCTCTCGAGTAGTTGGGATTACAGGCACAAGCCACCACGCCCAGCTAATTTTGTATTTTTAATAGAGACGGGGTTTCACCATGTTGACCAGTCTGGTCTCGAACTCCTGACCTCAAGTGATCCGCCCACCTCAGCCTCCCAAAGTGCTGGGGTTACAGGTGTGTGAGCCACCGTGCCCGGCCTAGAGTTGCTTTTTAATTTGCACATACACACACGTGCACACATGCACAAAATCTGCTGGCATTCTGACTGGGTTTTCATTGACCGTATAAATTTTGGAAGAATGGATGGACATCTTTAACTTTTTTTTTCTCTATAATATTTTATAGTTTTCAGTGTAGGGCAGTGGTTTTTAACTAGGGGTGATTTTGCTCCCATCCTCCCTGTCCCCCAGGGCAGTATCTGGAGTCATTTTTGGCTGTTATGCTAGGGGATGGACAGTGCTAATGGAATCTTGTGCATAGAGGCAAGGATGCTTCTGAACATCCCAAAATGTACGAGTCCCGTAACAAATAATTACAGGCTCAAAATATCAATAGCACCAAGGTTGAGAAGCCATGGTAAAGGGTATTAAACTTTTTCCTTAGAATTCAATATATTGGGCGCTAGCATAGATCATTTCTTGTAAATTTTTATATTTTTGTATATAGAACTATACTAAATGCTTAAAATATTGAGCTTGTGTCCAGTGACCATGCTAAAATACATTTTTCATTCAAGCAGTTTCTCTATAGGTTCCTTGGATTAGTACATACACAATTGTATCACCTGTGAATAAAGACGGCTTTACTACTTTTGTGAACCTGCTCCTTCAGGAAGTGCTATGCGGCCAATAGCTGGCTCTTTTCTGTACAGTTGAAGGGCCTGCTGCAAAATACAATCCAAACGTTATCTACGGGGTGCAGACCAGCAAAACAACAAAACAATCTTAATCCTTTCTTTGGTTTCCCCAAAAATGGGAAGATTCTGAGGCACAGCCTTACCCAGTATCTCCTGGGAGGCAATTTTCTTTTTTCTTTTCTTTTTTTTTTTTGAGATGGCATCTCACTCTTTTGCCCAGGCAGATATGCAGTGGTGCAATCTCAGCTCACTGCAACCTCCACCTCCCGGGTTCAAGTGATTCTTGTTCCTCATCCTCCCAAATAGCTGGGACTACAGGCACCCGCCACCATGCCTGGCTAATTTTTGTATTTTTAGTAGAGATGGGGTTTCACCACATTGGCCAGCCTTGTCTGGAACTCCTGACCTCAAGTGATCTGCCCACCTCTGCCTCCCAAAGTGCTGGGATTACAGGCATGAGCCACCGCACCCAGCCTGTAATTTCCAATCTGTAGAAGTCTGTATAACTGCACAAATGTCAGCCAAAGAAAGCTGATCTGCCAACCGTAAGCACTGACATGGGGTCAGGGCACATGCCCACTACAGAAAGTAATTTCGGAGTTATTTTTTGAGAGTTTTTTTTTTCTTCTTCTTCCATTTTTAGAGATGGGGTCTCACTATGTTGCCCAGGCTGGTCTTGAACTCCTGGGTTCAAGTGATCCATCCATCTTGGTCTCCCAAAGTGCTGGGATTACAGGTGTGAGCCACTGCACCTGGTCATGAGAATGCGTTTCTGAGAGTGTGGTTAGGAGTAGCCTGGTGCAAGAGTGGAAAGGGGTGATCTCTTTCTTCCATCCTATTAAGGGTCATAGCCAATACTCTTACAATAAAAGACAGGTTAACAGGAGAAAAACATAACAAATTTATTAACATGCATGAAGCAGGGGAGCCATATAAAAAATATGAACATACACAGAAAGGCCCAATGGTTGGCACTTAAGTACTCTCTTCACTGGGGAAAGGGAAGTAGGGGGGCTTTAAATGAATGGACCCAAAGACCTGATGGTTTGTAAATGGTTCTCTTTGGACGCTGAATGGGACTGAAGGACAAACAATAGCTTGTGGACAAGTCATGAAAGGTGAGGGGTAGTACTGCACTGTGAACCAAGGTTGTCTTATTATGCGGATATAGTCTCCCAGGTTATCTCTCGAAACTGCCCTCAGAAGAAAAGATGAAAAGTCTGTCTGGTATGGTATCCTGGCTGTAGCTTCTTTTTTAGTCTTTTCTTGGGTGATTAATCATTCCTGGTTATTTAATGAGATTCATAGGGAGGGGGCTTTAAGACAACTGCATTTATTTTAGAAGAAGTTTTCTCAATCAGGCAACGGAACTTCCAGAGAAAGAGCTCCTCCTGGTGCTTTAGAAAAAGAAAGGGTCCAAAAAAAAGGAAAGAAAAAGGGTCAGAAAGATAGCATGCTCCTGGTGCTTTAGAAGAGTGTCAAAAAAAAAAAAAAAAAAAAAAAAAAGAAAAGAAAAAAAAGAAAGGGTCAGAAAGACACCATGGTGGGGGAAAGTCAAGAGAGAGAGAGCTTGAGGCTGCTGCTTTAGTTCAGCTCGTCAAATGCCACATTTGGGGCATTATTTTCTGATCCTCAACACTTGTGTAACAAAGAATTCCAAGCCGGAAGTCAATAAACTAAATTCCCCTGTGAGCTCTGTGGCTTCAGCAAGCTGTCTAAGATTCAGGGTCCTCTTCTGTAAAACAGACATTTCCCCTACCCTTCTCGTGGCTCCTTCTGGCCATATTCCAGAGTCCATATTCTGGTTATATTCCAGGGTCTATAACCTTGCATTGCTTCTGTGCAGAAAGAGAAAAGAAGCCACACTTTCCCCAAAGAGTAGCCACAACTACGTAAAAATGAGAAGACATGAAGACACTTCAGAAGAAAGGAGGGTCACCAGGCTCACCCACAAGCCTCAGAGCAGGGCTTCGTTTTGATTCTTTGGGAGTCAGTGCTCTCAGTGATCTCATCTTTCTTCACAGCTCCAGCTCTTCCCTCCTCTTTTCTGATGGCCTAGATTATATTTTCAGCAGATTAAGCCAGATCCTCATGACCACCTCCCGGAGGTCTGCTCAGCCCTGGGCTGTCACTTCAGGCAGGCAGTGAGAACTGCAGTGTAACCCTTTCGTCTCTTTCACAACGTCTGACTGCAGAGCCCAGCCCGGTCCCAGGACTCTGGTTACACAACCTTTTGAGGCAGGCTCAAGAGATTCCCAGGTAGCACCCTTCCCCTCACCTCCAAATACCCACTTACCCTTCTATCCACACCTCCTCTCTGCAAACCATCACCGTTCCCATACTAGCAGTGATGGGGGACTCTCCAGCCACCCTCCCAGGCACGGCATCATCTCTTCACTTTGTCAGGCTCTGACTCCTGTCATGAGGCAGCAAAGATTCAAGAGAAGGAAGCTGGCCAGGTGCCGCGGCTCACACCTGTAATCCCAGCACTTTGAGAGGCTAAGGTGGGAGGGTCTCTTGAGGCCAGGAGTTTGAGACCTCATCTCTACCAAAATAAAGAAAATTAGCCAGGTGAGGTGGCATACCTGTAGGCCCAGCTCCTCGGGAGGCTGAGGTGGGAGGATCGCTTGATCTCAGGTCGAGACTACAGTGAGCCACGATCTCACACTGCACTCCAGCCTGGGTGACAGAGCAAGATCCTGTCTCAAAAAAAAAAAAAAAAAAAGAGAGAGAGAAAACTCTCAAGAGGAGTGAATCCCTCTGCGGTGCTGACTCCTGAGGCCACTCAGCCCTGATTGCCCAGCTGTGGGAATCCCATGCTGGCAGCTGCAGCCGCTGCCACCAGAGTCCTGTAGATGACCCCTTCTTGTTCTCTGCTCCCAGCAGACTCAATAGCTCCTTTTAATTTCCTGTAGCACAGCAAAGAATAAGACTGGATCATTTAACAAGGATTCTTCAGTGGCTCAGGATAGCGAAAGAAAAAGCAACCTTAAACCAGACTAACAAGGCTCACCAGGTCCAGGCCACTTCCTTCCAGCAGAATGAATGGAACAGCGGTTCTACCCTCTCTTTGGCAGGGCCTGTGACCTCCAGTCCCTCTCGCCCTTCCCACCAGGTCCTTTAGATTCTCCCAGGGCTTTCTGAGCCGCTGCTCTCACCACCTTTTCCTGGCCAGTTCACCTCTGACTTACCTGGAGCTGCAGACCGAGTGCTGCAGCCAATTGTTTCACCTGTTCCTAATGCTGCCCTCAGCCTCAAAGCCCATCTCCCTCACAGGGCGTGGCAAACACCATCCCTGGAGGAGGGGCTGAGAAATACCAGTGCCAGGCTAAAATATGATATAATCACATGGGCAGAAGAAATTAGGCCACTCATAGAGCCCAGGCAACGGAAAACTGTAGCAATGGCACACTGCTAAAACCAGGGAGGCCATTCAAAGAGTGAGTTCTCCCCAGGAGAGCTCACTGTGCGCGGCCACTTGGATGGAGCAGCAGCTGCTGCAGCTCAAAGCTCACATGATCAGGCGCTCCACATTCTCTGAACTTCAGAGAAAGAACCAAAGTGTGCAGAAGCTGGAAGCGTGGGGAGGCACAAAGGAACAAGACATTGATACAACCTAAAGAAGAGACGGGACAAGTGTTCCGGTTTTTCTTTTAATTATTTACCAGATAAAAAAGAAAAAAAATAGTGATTGTTTCTCTTCACCCCCAACATTTCCGTTTACCAAGGTCGAGTTGGAGAGAAATTCATTGAACAATGATTTGTGCTCCTGGCCTGGAGCAAATTCTTCTCCTCTGCTCTACGCCACCTCAGGCAGCAGGGACAGGGCAAAGGGCTCCAGGCAGAAATCCTGGCGGCTGGGCAGCGGAGTGGCATTGTGGCTATCGTTTCTTCTCACCGTTGCCAGAGCATTCAGACCCTTTCCTGTCTATCCCCCTACCCCGCCCTGCCCAGTCCCTCAGAGGAGGCAGGGAGCGGGGACTGCAGGAAGCAGGACAGGTGCACGGGTGGCCCAGGTAGCTCCCGGCAGATCTGGCAGAAGGCACAGCCCCTGCTTCTATTGCACATCCTGGCTCAGCTCCCCTGCCCCGAGCAGTAGGCCACAAAGTAAAACGCTTTTCAAATTCACAGAGCCCGGTGCTGTGCGCCAGGCTCAAGGAGGGGAGGTGTGTTGTTGTGTGGCTTGTTCTGGAAGATAGGTATGTATTTTTAAGTTATCCCATGATGGGGCCAAGGCCACAGTTTCGCCTCTTTAAAAAAGTATAAGGGGTCTGGACATCTCGGGGTCCTGTAGTGACTGGGCCTCTTCCCAGGCGAGTGCAGAGGCCTCGGAAGAAGCTTTCCCCCACCAGCGGACCTCCTGCTGCATCGGATGAAGAGGCAGCGCCCACCGGCCACACCAGCCCCTCCGGACTGTCATGACTCTGGGCCACTTGGGGCGACCTCTTTCTCTGAACACCTGGAGAATTCTGACAAATGACCCTAGAGAAAAACCTTTTACACTACATGTTTCTCCATAAAATGGCAGCTAAGTCCCCTCAAATAAAACCTTGAAGTGTTTCATTCTCATTCTTCTCTTACCAGTGAAATCAAGTGGGGCAGAGTAAGTTATTTAACTGACATTAGCGAGAGGATAAACCCCTCTAAAAAACCACAGGGGGAAGTGGAAACTGATTCAGATTTGGCAAAACTGCAAATCTTTCCCCTTCATAGGCTGGAACGAAGCTGGTGGGTGAAGACAAACTAAGTGTGCCAATAGCAACAACTGCAGGCTATGAAATGACAGGTCAGACACAGGACTGTATAAATTGTGGCACTATAAAGATGAGAAGGCAGGTCCATAATACAGCTGGGAGCAAGCCTTTGGAGCATCGCTTCCAGAAATTCTATCTGTCCTGTAGTAAGTAGTAGCATCCAGATAAATCAGTAGTTCTCCTTCCTCCTCTTCCAAACACATTCTGAGAGTTTCTTGTTTAAATAACTATGTACACACCCAGCAAGCCTGGTCTCTCTTTTACATGAGGGTCCTTCACTTGAGGGTCCTACAATGGCTTTAGAGTCGGTTCCAATTGCCTTTTCGGAGATTTACTGCTTGGGACCAAACCTGCAAGGCAAAGAAATGACTGAACACTATAACAGGAAAATCTTGAAGATGAAGGCATTCCAGTGTTTATGAGACTGAGTCTTAATATAAACAAACCCTCAACTCCCTATAGGGCTCTGGTACTCTGGCAAATTGAGTAATTGGGCTTGGGCCCATCAACTCTGTCAGCCAGAAGGCCACATGCCCGCCTGAAGCCTTGGAAAACAGCTCCATACCTCCCTCTGAAAAGGACAGTTTCTCAAGTTCAGCTTCAAGTTCAGCATCTGAGATCCTAGGGTTAGGCACACTGTTGGTAAAATGCCTATTGCGGGGGTTGTCAGGCAGATCCAAAGGTTCTTTGGTGGTATCCTGAAGGAGGATGTCCAATTCCTTCTCCAGTTCTTCACTGTCAAAATCTGGAAATTAAAGAGAACATAAAGATGCATAAACTCCAGGGAGAAATGCATTAATGAGTACAGGACTGAGGTTACCAAAACTCCGCTTAGCTTTTCAAAAGATGCCAGGCCTCCTTGCAAATTAAAAAAAAATCCTGGAAGTCAGGAAACTGAGGGTAGCTTCAGGCAGAGACGCTTCTTCCAGACTCAGAGTTAAGTCACCAAGGAGGTGTATTCTGTTAACCCCATGGACCTGACCCTGATTCCCCTTGCCCTTGAAGGAGGATCCTCCAGTCGGAAGCCTTGTGAATGAGGAATGCTGGAGCACAGATGGGTCATGAGCACAGCTGTCAAGGAGGAAATGGCAATTCCCTGATTGCTCCTGCAGATGGGCCCCAGGGAGGGCAGGCTAGGAGAGGCCTGCCTGCAGCCGGAAAAGCAAATCTACCGTCAAACTCATCACAGCACATGGAAACGAAGTCTTCTAGGATGAAAAGAAGAAACAATTGCTTTGGGCCGGGCATGGTGGCTCACGCCTGTAATCCCAGCACTTCGGGAGGCGGAGGCAGGCGGATCACGAGGTCAGGAGTTCAAGACCAGCCTGACCAACATGGTGAAACCCCATCTCTACTAAAAATACAAAAATTAGCCCGGTGTGGTGGTGTGCGCCTATAATACCAGCTACTCAGGAGGCTGAGGCAGGAGAATCGCTTGAACCCAGGAGGCGGAGGTTGCAGTGAGCCGAGAATGTGTCACTGCACTCCAGCCTAGGTGACAGAGTGAGACTCCATCTAAAAATAAATAAATAAAAATAAAAATAACCACCTTGTCCACTCACCTAAGCCATTGGTTACCCCACCAGCCAGAGTCTGAGAAACTTCATCCTGGGTGTCACAGAGCTGTAAGAGACAAGTGCAAAGCCCTGAGTTGGGCATGGTGGCTCTGGGCATCTCAGTCTTCGGTAGAAAATATCTAGGGTGACAAAGCAATCCTGCCCCAAATGAGAATCAAGAAAAGCTTCCTCAAGTTCACAAGGTCACAAGTCAAGTTTCATTAAAGAGGATGTACAATGAAGTCAAATCTGGGCCGGGCGCGGTGGCTCAAGCCTGTAATCCCAGCACTTTGGGAGGCCGAGACGGGTGGATCACCAGGTCAGGAGTTTGAGACCAGCCTGGCTAACACGGTGAAACCCCGTCTCTACTAAAAAATACAAAAAACTAGCCGGGCAAGGCGGCGGGCGCCTGTAGTCCCAGCTACTTGGGAGGCTGAGGCAGGAGAATGGCGTGAACCCGGGAGGCGGAGCTTACAGTGAGCTGAGATCCGGCCACTGCACTCCAGCCTGGGCGACAGAGCGAGACTCCGTCTCAAAAAAAAAAAAAAAAACAAAACAAAAAAAAACAATGAAGTCAAATCTGTCCTCTGTCACTTCCTTCTCTGTGTCTCCCTCCCTGGCCCCTTTCTGTACCTCTTGGATCTGATCCACAAGGCTCTCTGCCTTCTCCACTGTGACATCCTTCATGGAGAGTTTGAGTGCTCCCACCCCAGCCTGGTAGGCATTAAAAACCTAAAGACAAAGCAAAGCTATCAGTGCATATGACAGACATTTGGCAAAATACATACGATATTGTTTCAACTCCAAAAGGCAGCTTTGGGGTTTTTTGGGCACCCAATCTCAATTTACCCTATACCCACTGAGGCCAAACCTCCTGACTGGAAAGACAAAGGCAACCCCAGCTACATCCCGAAAGAACCCAGGGATTCTCCAAACAGCAAAGCCGAAGCTGCAAGTGACCAACACCCACGGAGACACCAGCTGAGTGCTGGAGTAGGGGGGAGTGGCTACCATTTGATCTGTCTGGGAGGCATAGATCCGGTCCAGGATGCCTTGAACAGTGTCCAGCTTGGCATGCAAGGCCTCGATGCGCTTCTCTGTCCGTTGCTTGGCCTTGAGAGACCTCAGTGCCTGGGGGGCATGGAGACTTAGGTCAGTGCTGAACTGGGCAAGCCGAAGGGCAAGAGGAAGACAGCCCTTCCCAGATGCTAAGGCCGTCCCAGCCTTCTTCCCTCCGGTCTGTAAAATAAGCTGTGGTGCCTGGGCCCCTGCAGACTCTGTCCCCCTCAAAACCCCAGCGGGCTGCTCTCCGAACTGCTGGGCATCGCTCCAGGCCTGCCTGGGGCACTGCTATGGGGCTGGAGGAGGCAAGAACTCACCAGCTGCTTCTTTCCTGCTCGGCATGCCCGGCGGGCTTCTTCTTTACACCTAGAAACAGAGGGACAGATAAGATGACTGAGTCACAGGACGGGAGGGGCAGGGTCCCAAACGGTGCCTGAGAGCAGCACTCAGTCAAGGTGGTTTTAAATCTGTTAAGACTAAATCCACTCTGCCCAGTGGCAAGAAAAATGATGCTGATGGCCAAAAACTCTTGTGCCAAGTCAACAGGCAGCTCAAGCAGGATGACTGAGGACAAGCTTTTTCTACCCACCGCGACAGAACATGCAAACAGGGCACCTCGTACATGTCTTCCCAATTTGGGGAGACAGGGAATGAACTGTTAACACCAACAATGACCTCGGACACATCCCTCTGCCTCCCAACAAGACTAGGCTTTCCCAACTGGAAGACAGACTTCAATGTCTGTGTCCGCCTGCCGGAGTGTGTGTCTTTATCAGGGATTCCTTGTACAGTCATCCAGGGGAAAGGGCAGGGCAAGGGCCCCTCAGAAAGACCTCTGCAAAGGCAGGAACCCATCTTGTCCACGGCTATATCCCCAGTCCCTAAGACAATGCCTAGCTCAATAAATATTAGTTGAATGGATACTGGTAAGGAAGAGCATAAACATTACACTCACAGTCATGGTCTGCGGGGGAAGAATTAAGACTCGTGTTTTCAGCTGGGCACAGTGGCTCACCCCACGAACCCCGGCACTTTAGGAGGCTGAGGTGGGAGGCTTGTTTGCGCCGAGGACTTTGAGACCATCCTGGACAACATGGTGAGACCCCGTCTCAACAAAAAATTAAAAAACTAGCCAGGCACGGTGGTGCGCACTTGTGGTCCCAGCTACTGAGGAGGCTAAGGCGGGAAGATTGCTTGAGCCCAGGAGTTTGAGACTGCAGTGAACTAAGATCGTGTCACTGTTCTCCAGCATGGGGCATAGCGCAAGACCCTGTCTCAATTTAGAAGGAAAAAAAAAAAAGGCCGGGCGGGGTGGCTCACACCTGTAATCCCAGCACTGTGGGAGGCCAAGATGGGCGGATCACGAGGTCAGGAGATTGAGACCATCCTGGCTAACACAGTGAAACTCCGTCTCTACTAAAATTACAAAAAATTAAGCCAGGCGGGTGGCGAGGTACCTGCTAAGTGGTCCCAGCTACTCAGAAGAGGAGAAAACTGGGCAGGACAATGGTGTGAACGCCAGGAAGGATGGAGTCTTGCAGTGAGCCAAAACATGCCACTGCAACCTCAGCCTGGGAGACACAGCGAGAACTAACCGTCTCAAAAAAAAAAAAAAAAAAAAAAAAAAACAAACAATAAACAAATGAACAAAAGGCCCCTCATGTTTTTTTCTCCTTTTGTGATATTCTGTGCTTTGCAATCGAATTTCTGCATTGAGCAGCTGAAGTACTTGTAATTAGCTTAAAAAAACCACACACTATTTTTTAAAAACCCACATCAGTATAGCAATAAATATTGCGCTCAATAAGGGGGCCAGCCACAGTGGGAGCGGAAAGAAGCTGCAGTTTCGGGGTTAAAAGTTACCTCCTGCTTTCCCCTGGGATAAGGTCCACTTTGACACAAGAGAGAAGCGTTCACAAGAAGCATCCAGCTAAACACACACACCAACACAAAACATTGGACTGGAGGAAACCTTGGCTATGGCCGGGCAAAACTTCACCAATCTGGGGACCAAGAGAAATTTACTACCTGTTGCCTACCCACAAAGAACAAGAAAACATCACACAGAAAGTTGCTGGTGGGCATATGAGAAACAGCAAGGCCCCACTTTCCATGAGGGGCACCATTCCAATGAATGGAACCCCCGGTGAAAAAAAGATCCTGAACCTTGGTAAAACTGAACCCTATACACTCCGAAAACCATGCACACATTTCCTTCTTCACAATTTTCCTATACACGAAGATTCACTCTCTTACTGTAGAATCCTACCGCAACCTCAAAGAAAAAATTTTGTCCAACATA